GACAAACAGCGCCTCATTTTTGGGCGATGCTCCAGAAACATTTTGGCAGGCCAATTCCGCCCCATGATGATACCATTGCCATCCAAATTTATGGCGATGAGATACAAGCATGGGAGACTACACAGCTCATGGCTTTCCATTGGATGCCGGAATGCTCGCCTTTTGAGAGCGACCCCTCCCGGTCGCGATTTCTCATCGCAGTTTTGCCAACATCGGCGTACGCTTATCAAGATAAAATTAACATCACGCTGCAGCAACTTCTACGAGAAGTGGTTGACTCATGCAACCAGTGGTCGCGCGAAGGTGTAGCTGGAGTTTTTGCGCAAGTCACCACGGTGAAGGGTGACTGGAAGTGGCTTGGGCAGGCGCTGTTGCTAGAAAGGCTTCCAACCAGAAACCAATTTTGTTTCCTTTGCGAAGGAAGCAAGGATTTGGTGAAACCATGGACAGATTTGGGGGGGCGGCGCTCTGTGGCGCCATGATGTGCCCCAAGAGCCCTGGCTGGTGCGCCCAGCCCTTGCTGACTTGTTGAACTTTGATATGGGATGTGTGGGGTTGGATTTGCTGCATCTCTGGAGCCTTGGGATAGCCAGGGATGTCATCGCTAGTTGCGTGACGATCCTCCTGCGAACGCGTTTCTTTCAAGGCTCGACTGTGTCCTGGATTGGCTTCAATAATATCTTGGTGGTAGACGTTGCTATATATTTGTTTACTGTAGTTGGTGGCTGTGTGTTTCTTCCTGCCTGAGATGTTAAGGTGGAATTGCGCATGAAATCCGCTGGCCAGCTGGCTGTTGAGTTTGCAAAGCAGCACACGAAGTACCGCTTGCCAGCCAAGTTTCACTTCTCAAAAGCAAGGCTGAGGCTCAAAGGTGGGAAGTATTGCCACTACACAGGTAAAGGCTGGCAAGCAACCGTTCTCATGCAATGGCTCGGCTGGCTTGTTGCTAGCCATGAGGATTTGCCGCTCGATGACAACATCAAATGTTTGATCTGGACGGGCAACAACTTCATTGGGATGCTCTATGAGTCAAAAGGCTCCAATGGGCACTTTTTGACGGAACAGCAGGCCAAGCAAATCCAAGCCATTGGAGGAGTCTTCGTCACGACGTACTTGAACCTCAATCGTGCCTATCAAGGGTGGTGCACCTACAAGCTGTGGAATTGTAGGCCAAAACTACATCTCCTGGTGCACTTGCTGGATGGCGTTGCTAAATTGAAAAACCCGCTGGCAGGTGTGACCTGGCTAGACGAAGGGTGGTTGAAGACTATCATGGCAATTGCGAGAAAAACGCACGTTAAGTGCACTCAATCGTCGACACTGAAGCGCTACTTGGCAGGCGTCCCTGCAGAGCAGCTTTAAACCCATGATGCTTGTGTGGCCCATGCAGGCTTGAAGCAAGTAATGCGTGAAGCTTCAGCTGAGATGAAGAGGTGTTGGGTTTGCGACTGCAGGGTGTATACATGTGGGTCATGAGCATGAGCATGAGCACACGCTAACATGCATGAGCATGAGCATGGGCATACGTTAACATGCATGAGCGTGCGCATATGTCTTCTAACGTTAAGCATGACATTTTGAGTCACGTCATGCATGTGCATATGCATCATCGTAACCGTATGTATGTATATATATATATATACATATATATATAACGCGAATTTGTTTTTGGGTCATTGGCGTGCCATGTGTGGTTACACGCCATATGTCGCGCGGAGGGCGTACGCGCGTGTTGCCCTTGATGTGTGTTGCGGGTTGCCTGTGCTGCCAGGAGTCCTGCTGACGGGTTTGCGAGCTGATTGTCTGACGTGAGAGTGAAAAAGAATGAATGGGGCCAAATGGGATCTGGAGCGGTTGAGCGGTATATAGTGGTGTGTTTTGCTTTGCGAACGGTTGTGTGAAGTTTTGTTTCTTTTGAAGAAGTTCCCACAGGAAAGGGTTTTCAAGTTGATTTGGCATATCTGGGGGTTTTCGTGTGTATATGACGGTCTGGGATGAGTGAGGCCAGTCCTGAGGAGATCGTCCCTGCTCGATTCTTGCAGAGGTGGAAACCAACAGCTGATGGACCCAAAGCGAATGCCAGGGTCATCATTGAAGGTTTCAAGCATTGTGATGTGCTCAATGAGAACCTGCAGAAAGAGTCACCCACATTGAGCCGCCTCGGACGAATGCTGGTGATGATTTGGGCAGTGCATCGACAATGGAAGATTTGGTGTGCTGATGTAAAGTCAGCCTTCATGCAAGCAAACAGCATTGATGAAAGCACTCGCATCTACGTGAAGCCGCCAGCAGAGATGATGATGGGCCTCAAGGAAGATGAGATCCTGAAAGCAACGAAACCAGCCTTCGGAGATGTCAGAGCACCACGTCAATGGTTCGAGTCGGCTGATGCATTCCTCGTTCATGAAATGGCATTTGTCAGTCACCCACTGGACCGATGCGTCTACCTCTCCTTGCGAGAAGCCACCGTAGATGATGATGAGTTCATGGTCTTTGAACGAGACGGTGGAAAGTGGATCGTCGATGGAATCCTTGGACTACATGTTGACGATTTCATCGGAGCAGGAGAGGGCATCAAGTGTCTCAGAGATGTGAGCAAAGATCCCAGTGGAGCATGTGAGAAATTCCAACACCGACTGTACCACCTGTCCAAGAGGTTCAGATTCGGCTCATGGGACTTTGGCGACAAGATGCGCTTCTGTGGAGCAGAGGTCAAGCAGTCCAATGATCTGATGACGGCGACCGTGTCATTGCAGGAGTATGTGAACAAGATCAAACCGATCTCTATGGAGAAAAGCCGGAAGACCATGGTGAATGACTACTGCAATGAAAAGGAGCCCAGGCAGCTCAGGGCATTGGTGCGATGTCATGGCCTGTGACGCAATGCCTTCCACAAGCTGCTGCGACGATCAGTCTCCTACAGGCAAATGTCAATCGCCCTATGAAGCGAACAAGTGTCTCAGGTTCATGAAGGAGACCGTGAAGAACTATGTTTTCACTTTGAGGAGCCATGGACCATTGAGCCAGGTGCGAATTGGCCTGTACTGCGATGCTGCTTGGTCTGTTCGTCCCGACGGAAGTTCGCAGGGTGGCATGCTCATGTTTTTGGCAAGCCATGAAGAGATGGAGAGCAATCAGCCATTCCCTCTCACGATCTTTGACTGGTCGAGCAAAAAGTTGACGAGGATGTGTCGCAGTTCACTTTCAGCAGAAGCACAGGCAGCAACAATAGCAGTAGACGAGTTGGAATGGGCAAAAGTGTTTTTTTGCAGCAGCGATCAACCGTATGTCGCCATCCAAGAGGACAGCACTATGCTCATGCTGAGTGAATCGCCCGTGATCACCGATGCGAAGGCCCTGTTCGACAGCACGATTTCGGTGACTCCAGGACTCAAATTGTCGGAGAGAAGAACAGCCATTGAGATATGCATCTTGAGAGAAAGAATGGCCGCTGCAGGTTGCAAGGTGAAGTGGGTCAACTCGAAGCAACAGTTGGCAGATGGACTCACGAAACCGTCTGCAAAAGATGACTTGGCGTACATGTTGTCTCGAGGAGTACATGCACTTCGACATGATCCTCATTTCACAGCCGCCAAGAAGGTGACCCACGATGTGAAGATGAAAGAAGAGCAGGAGTATGAGAAAGCAGCCGAGGACTTGTTTGAGGGTCAAGCGTTCATGGTTGAAGATGAACAAGAAAAGGAAAAGAAGGGCTTGTGCAAGCTCCCTGGATGCATGAAAGAAAAGAACAGAGAGAAAGAGGGCAACGCATACTGCAGCCGACGACACTACTACCTTCACCAGTTCCGCATGGGCAATCGCTCTGACGAGTGGCGCAAAGCAGCAACCTGCGCAATCACCTTGCTGGCCATGGAAAGCATCCCTGAAGCAGAAGGAGCAGCAACAAACGAGGCTGATGATTTGATGATTTACCGTTGTTCAACACGTTGCTGGTCATTTGTTTGTTTTCATTGTTGGGCATGCTTGGAACTGTTTGGGTGATGAAGGACATGGTTGTCATGATTGTCCACAAGGTACAGAATGTCATGAGTTCGGCAAATGAAGAAGCAGAGATTGAGAATGAACCGGTCCTTGAGAATGACATGCAAAGGTCCGTAGGTTTGAGCCATGGCACGAATGAGAATAACCAGGTGAATGAAGATGGCGACGCTTTCGACAACACCGAGTACCATGAAGAGTGCAGCTCCAATGAAGAAAGGCGATGGAAAAAGCTATACGATGATGTCTGTGGAGAGCATGGACAAAGGGCATGGATCCAGGTCAACAAGACTTTGTGGTCTGAGCACGTGACTACGACAATGAGGAGTCACGTCATTGAACACTCTCTTCCCTCCATTAGAAGGAGGGAATACCTGAAGTTACGACTTCTGACAAGCAGCTCTGGCGTGAGTGATCAAGAAGTACGCCAATGGCATCGATTCCTCAACGCCCACTTCACGCTTTTGGTGGAAGTTCATGTGAGCATGAAGCAGAAAGAAAGACAAATCTCCCCGCTGCAAGACTCACTGATGAAGGCCGAAGATAGAAGACGTGAAGATGATGAGCTGGAACCACATGAGAAGATGAAGCGGCGATTTCGAGATGGTGAAGTTCGGGACCGAATGCAACAAACCGGACTGCACTATGATCATGACTTCGATCAAATGCAAAGAATGCATCCCACGCAGCACGGTGCCTGGGAACATGTGAGTGTGTACGAAAGCCGCGTGTGAGAAGAGAGAGAGATGAACGAATTTCGAATTTTCCTTTTTTGTGACAGGTGGTCGTGACAAATTTCGACTTTTTGCCTGTCTGAGTGCCGTATCACATAACACGAAATGCGGCATGTTTCTTTCATGAATGTGTACATGTGTGGCCATTTAGGGCCCTTGAGCTACTGAAACGTGGCACGACCCACAAACCTCACGACCTTCGTGTGCGAGATAAAGGTGCGGACTTAGCGTGCTGTTCACCTTCTACAACGAGACTGGGTCATGGACTTTCCAGCTCGCAGTGCCGAAAGAATCGAACGAACCATCGTTCCATCCACAACTTCACATCACCTTGGAGGACGCCCAACACAGCAACAGGTCTTGGCCACGGGCTTTAGATTAGTCGATTTTCAGTTGGCAAGCTCCAGGAGCATTCGAATGCACATCCACATAACAATGTCAGCTTGGAAAACTCGCACTTTGCAGACCTCTCATTGCTGTGGGAGGGTAAAAATTCTCTTGCAGTCTGCAGAGACTCTGGTGCAACTTGGGCACCACCCATGCCAGCGATGTCTGCTATCATAAAACGCCCCTTGGTGAACGGCTTTGCTGAGTCTCAAACAAGAGATTGCCACCGTGATCCTGCTGCGTTTCAGGCTAGAAAAATAGATAAAACTAGTATATCGGCTGACCCGGGTTTGGACCGGGGGGAGGCGCCAAAGAGCACGTGCTCGCGGGATTGCATCGAATCCATGTTTCGAGGTATAGTCGCATGAGACATCGCATGGAATAAAATTGTGTGTCATTCCGTTTTGAGGCCTTTTCAATTTCGGCATGGCCAGGTGAGGTGGCCAGGCAACAGCACATGCGACAGGACTTGTCCCATTCCTTTAGTCGATTCCAAAGGTAACATTCTTTAGGCCCCGCTAGGCCTGCTCGAGGTAGTCGATGTTGGTTGTCAGTTGGCGTGCACTCTTTTTTTTTAGAGAGCTCGACGTTATGCGGGTGTGGTTTTTACGTGCTTTTGTGGTGTTTTTCTTAGATTTTGTCATGTTTAGTCAGAGTTTCCACGGAAGAGCTTGAGGCATGTCGGTGGACTCAGTCTGCACATCTGAGAAGGCACGAAACCTGCAGCTGCAAGAGGTTATAGTATCAACGGAACGTGTTTCATTGGTTCATCTTGGACGACATAGGACAACCAAAGAACAACATAGAATAGAGTTATGGAGGCAAGAAGCAGCTGAGCTCCTCGAAGACGTTTGACACACACATATGGCTTAGAGGTGCAGATCCGCAGTTGCCTCGTGTAGTTGTTAGAAAAGAACAATTGATGACACATATATGACCACACACGCATGTCTATATAAATATGCGCAAAACAAAAATTTCTATATACAGTATATACAAGTGCTTGCCGGAGCAGATAGTTGTGTCTTCAAACAGACGAGAGGAATATAAGAAGTTGTGGTGGAATTGCTACTCTTACACAGGTAGCTATAATGAAACCAATAATCTTGACTATCTCTAGCACCTGGGCCACTTCCAGCTCGTGGAATTGGCAATGAGTCCTCAATCTCCAGCAAGTGGGGCCTGGGCCTGGGCTTCTCAAAATTGCTCCTGGAATTGGACAACCATTTTTTTTTTTTCGCGCCCCCCCCCCCTAGAGAAGCCCAGGCCCAGGCCCCAGTTGCTGGAGATTGAGGACTGATTGAGATTGGAGGTCTTGGAGACCAGATCTCCCTCATAGAGGTGATGACCTGATGTTGTATGATGGGATGTCGTGGACTTGCTGATAGATGATGGTTGATGGACTTCTGTGTGGGAATCAATGAGAACTAGTATGTTTGAATCAGATTGATGAGAAATTTGATAGATTACAAGTCGACATTTGTGCTAGACACGTTCTTTCAAAACAACTAACATTTTCAAAAAACACAGAAAACCACAAATCACAAAAACGCGTAAAAACCACACCCGCATAACGTCGTTTTCTGTTTTTGTTAAGGGTTTCTGAAAGAGAATGCCAAAGCGAGGTGGTCGGGTCAGGTAGGGCGAGGTGTGATCGATCCCCTGCATCGATTCCATATATTCCATAGGGATGCATTCTATATAGCTTGCCGTCGCCTTCAGTGAGGCGTGGCCAGGTGAGGCAGCTAGTTGCACGTTTGGGCAAGATCCCTCCGCAAGGGATGTTAATCGGTTCATAGTTTGCAGGGGTGAGGTGTGAAAACCTCATGAGGATGAAGTTGACTGAGCATCTCCATTCTTGCAGCCCCTTCTCGAGCCCCGAGAACAAGTGAGTAAAAGGAAAAGGACATCAAACCGTAGGGCCATAGGGGAATGAAAATTGCTTCATCCTCTCACGGGTCGGCGGCAACGGGCCGGATTATTGTAACAGCTATCCATCTATAGGCCCATCATTGTCTATCATGAACTGTTTCTTCTGCCTAGTAGCTTCATGTTCCTAGTAGTAAGGCCAGGAGCTACTAGAAGCGTCCTTGCTCCTAGTAGCGATGCCCTTTGTTCCGAGTAGCTTCTTGTTCCTAGTATTGAAATTGTGCAAAGTGCCAAAGCCGGCAGGCCTAAATGGTTCGACAGCACAGCATGCGATAGATCCGATAGTTGACTGCTGACGGCTGCTCACGCTCATCAGCCAAGATTCGGTAGGCAACAAGCGTCCCTTCCCCATGGCCTTGCAGTCACACCAAACCTCTGGCCTAAGCGGTCCTACCAGGTGGAAATTGGCCTCGTCCGGCAGAACGAAGCAATATCGATCACAACGTGTGTGTGGGACTCGTGGCCCCCGCAAATCCACACGTGCCTCAGGGACGAAAACCGGCTTGCCGGCAAACCACTCGTTGCAGGCTTTCTAAAAAGACACTCCACATGGCGCTGAATGCTGGAAATTCGGGGAGTCTACTTCAGAGTGAGGTGTTCGACAGTAGTGTCAGCAGCCCAAGTGGTTTCATATGGTTTGATAGCACCCACAACCGAATCCGTTTCTGCAGAATCAACACAGGGAAAAGAACCTCGAGCATGCTACGTACGTAACGTCTTACAGGCGCTCCAGCATCTGAGGTTGCGGCATGCTCCAAAAGCAGGTCCATCTTAGTTCCCATGTAAGTCCTTGGCGCAACCAAAGATGCACAGAGTTCTGAGGATGCCTGGACCATATTCTCCACACGACCAGGTGCACATCCTTGTGTTTCTTTACCCAGTGAGTCCGCAGACAGAAAGTCTAGGAGACATAGGCTCTAGATGCTCTAAACTCAATGATACTCGATGCTTTCAGCACAGCTGCATTCCCGAGGCAGGTGGTCGCGCAGTGTCGCTGTCACCAAGGTCAAAGTGATGTGAAGCAGCGAATTCTTTGATGTGGTCACGTAAGAGGACATGATCCGTTTGAGCGTCTGCCAAAACATACTGTCAAGCAAAGGACATGATTCAGCAAGGTTATCGCTTTTGAGGGGGGCCTACTGTATCGCTTTTACAGGTATTGGCCACAATGTCAACATAGCTGAACATATCCAAAACCTGTGGAAATATGGTTATATATCGCTTTTGATTGGTGCCTATCTCTTTTGCAGGTTTTAGCTCAATTCCTGAGGTTCCTGACCACTCTTTACTAAATTATATAGTCATTGCACGTTTTGGCGGTTGCTCATGTGATTTGATGGGTTGAGTTGACGGCCCCGGCCTGCGACACTGCTCAACTACCAGTCCAATTAAAGGAGTGAGACGCAACCAAGTGCAATGATTTCTATAGTGCTTGCTGCCTGGCATGTTGGGCTCAGGAATCTGGCCAGCAAGCAAAACTTCAAACATCATGATTGGTCACGGGAAAAAAAGAACAACCCAAGAAGAAGCATTGTAGCTGTCCAAAGAAGTGGTTTGCAACAATTGAAGTTGAGAAACCAATCATGGAAACAAAAGCCGCTGAAATCTCTTGAAAACCGAGGCGAGTCTTTGCCCAAGCCCTGAATGAAACCAGGCTGCTTGGCAATAGACAAACTGCCTCAGGAACAAAACCGGACAATGATTCTTGTGGCGACTGAGTGCGCCAACATGCGCCAACATCCAACTTTAATGAACGATCTCATCCACTGGACTGGAAGCTGGGTCTGCTGTCGATCCTGAGCACAATGTATCACAAGGCCAGTGGCAAAGGTCTTGATGCGAACAGTGGAGCTGATGATCATTACTCCGGGCCCTCGCATTGCTCCTCCCATGACAACAAAAATAGCTACCTCCAGAGTATATCTTAGGTTCACCAAGGCACGACACTTTGCGCGCCAACCTGGGCCGGACCTGTCCAAAAGCTAAGGGCATCACCGTAGGTACTTCAGTGCTACACAGAAACCAGGCGCCACCAGGCCTCTTCTTCGGCTGTTTCCTTTGAGCCCCTTGAGTCTCGGATGTTGTGACCTCACAGTCATAAGTCGCACTCTTGTGAGTCTGGCATCATCACTCTCCGTGAGTCTCAGGTCTTGGGCTTTGATGACTGCGCTGATCTTTGGATGCCTTCCGGGGCCTGGTCACCCAGCATCCGCTCCCAGGGGCGTAAGAAGAAGTCGACTTCTAAGCCCGGGACTCGTCAGCTGGCTTTGTGCCATGACCTTGGCATATAGAATTTTCCACGCGACGGGAAACTATGGGAAACCCTCATCCAAGCAAATTGCCATGAAGAAGTTGGTGCAAGGTCACAAGCTCATTCTGTAGCTCATCAGCCTACCACGGTTTCATTTCAACAGTCACTCGGCACAGTGTGCTCTCTTTGCTTGAAGGCCTTTCTCTTTTCCTCCTCATACTGGGCGGCCAACCATTCCTTCTCTCTCCGCTCCTATCTACCCGCTGATCACCACCAAAAAATAAGAACTAATAACCAATGCTCTTTCACAGAACAGGTTCAAGAACCGAAGCATCCAAATGCACTCGAGACTGCACAGTGACCGTCCCTGTCGATGACCTTCGTGCAGTACTCCTTCAAACCAACCTCAAGAGGCAATGACTCCAAGAAGAAAGGATGCATTGACTCCTAAACTACGATCTTTTTGTTATTCTTGGCCTTAACATGCCTTACGAGAACTCTTTCGGCCTTGCTTCGTCCAAGAACTCCAAACTTCCACGTGAAACGAAAGATATTGGCAAAGGCTGGTAAGGCACCCTTATTATCGTTCAATTGTTTGCCCTTTCCTCTTGTCTGGAACTTCACATCCAAACGCCAGAAGCCCCGCTTGGCCTTGTGAGCTCCAGTCCCAGTGGATGATGCACCGCTTCCCATGTGGGCGCCGCGAAGTAGCCAGCTACTGGCTGGGCCGTTTTGGGCAGCAATGTATGTGTATTTTACAGGATCAACTCTACTTCCCTAGCTAACCCTGACTAGCCGTTAAGCGTCCCTTTTGCTCTACCTTGAGAGTACACGCTACGGGGTCCATGGGGATGAGGTGAATTTCAACACCCCCCTTTACAAGGAGTATACCCGTAGGGAAAATCTCGGGGAGGACTGAATTCTAGCGACGAGGGAATCATATTAGAAATCCCTCATCAAGTTTGTGCATGCACTATACAGAGAGAACGTAGCTACCCTAATGTACGACCTTCCGGCTCACTCGGCATGTGGTTAAACATGCTTGACCCAGTTCTAAGTAGAGCATTGATTAAAAGTTCACTCTCCGACTAGGGCAATCCGGTTAAGGATGCAACATCAGGTGAGACCATGAAGTGAAACATCATCTCACAGCGCGTCAGAAGGTGATCTTCATCTCAACACTCATAAGCTGTTCGTCATACCAGTTATGGTAGCAGTTCAACATATTCCTAATAATGTCTATATCCAAAACGCTCCGTTTCATCATGCCATCCCTGTTGCATCCACTGTCGAAGTTCCATGTGATTGGGCCAGTAATTTTCAGCCCATGGGTCAGTGCGCTGCCATTGTACCCCTGGAAAGTCGAAGGTCTCCAATGGTCGATCATCCGTTCCAAGCACAGTTGGCTGCCCAGTTACGGGAGCATTTGAGGATGATGCCGCTGTCAACGGAGCTCCTGAAGGCAACGGTGGTGGCGGTACATTCTGTAAGCTCCATTGCTGTGAACCATAGGGTCCTCCTCGTTGGCTCGCCTGCTGCTTGCCCTTTCCCTTTACGGAAGGTTGCAACCGATTGAATAGGTCAGTAAGTGGCGGTGGCTTCGGCGTGAGATTAAAATCTGGCGGCCGAGTGTTTGCCGGTATACCGCTGGCGGTGCTGGAAATATTTGGCGGCGGAACTTTTGGAGGAGGCACCTTTGGAGGTGGAACCTTCGGTGGAGAAGGTTTTGCTGGTGATGGTATTGGAGGTTGTTTCACTGGTAGTGGATTGCTTGGTGGCTTTGGAATTTGTGGTTTTGCCGTTGGAACGGGCGGTGGAGTGCGCAGTGGCGGACCTAACAGGTCTTTCGGTATATTGCCTCGACTGGGCATCCTGTCCTCAGGGCGAGCAGACGTTGCACGGCCGACTGAACCACGCGGCGTCCCTTTTACGGGAGCATTTGTTCCCTTGATAGTAGAACTGCCTTGGCCCTTGCCCTTGCCTGCAATGCTCTGATCTGCACTGACATTCCGTTTAGGGAAGTCCTCCTCTGACTGGCGACGCTGATTCTTGATCACGAGGTTGAGGCGGCTTGTACACTGATGATGTATGCGTCCCAGTTACGGGAGCAGGTGGACGTGGCACGCCTGGTGGAGGAGTTCGGTCATCAACCCATGAAGCAATGCGGCCAGACTGGCCCCGCTCTTCCTTCTTCCTCCACTGCAATCTTGGTCGCTTGTCAGCGTCGGCAACGCCTTCAATATATGATTGCGAGCGCTTCCGAGTCAACGGTGGCCTTGTTACAGGCACTTGTGGAGATGGTGCGTCTCGTTGTCCAAATTCCAACAAAAGCTGCTCCAACCGATGAATTTCATAGGAAGTCATGTCCTGCCCGCAATCCGCAAATCTCGGAAGGGGAGTTGCCATACGTTGTTCAACATTCATAAATCCCATTTGCTGAATTGACTGCCCTCGGTCACGCTCCTGCATGTTTGCGGACTGTCGGGCATTTCGTTGATATTGTATATTGGCATAGTTCTCATTCTGCTCCGCAAATTCGCTCAAAATCTTGTAGATGCCCATCGTGTCTCCACGAGGAATGCGGATAGAATGAATATCGCCATATACGTCCTCGGTCGGGATAAAGCCCTGTATCCTGATCTCGTCTCGGCTGTTGCCAATTACGGCAGCGAATTGTCGAAGAGACAAAAATTCACGTCTATAGCTGATCAAGAAGTTTTCGTCGAGGCCTTGCTTGAAACAGGTATGTAGGTTGTCAACGCCGCATCGAATGTACGCGAGCTTGGCGAGGTCAACTCTGTCTTGACGATCCAAATCACTGACAACTGACTTCCCTTTGGATCTCTGCTTTGCTGATCGTGAGGGTGCTGGTAGTTGCAGTGACGCATACAAGTCTTCTTGCGCCGCATCGAACGCGGTGCATCCCTCTCCGGTTAAGGAGGTGGCGAAGACGTCGTCGCGATTGAATCGGTCGTAGACATTCTCATACCCTTCTTTCAATGCTCTGCGAAGACGACCTCGAGCAGCAAGAATAATCTGACTGTCAACCGAGGGACTGCCACGAGCGGGAGGACGACCGGGTTGCATGTCCTGTGCGGCAATGCTATCAAGCATGCTTGTGGCCGTCATGTTGGTAGGAACACCCCCCTGCTGTTGCACGGTCTTCGCACGCCTCAATTGCAATCTCATGAATTTCGAAACAGGACCGTCCGTTGTGCTGCCTTGGAAAACTGCTCCACACCTGTGACATGATGCCATTCCGGCTAAGGAAAGAGTAGTGCATTTGTCGCAGCTGAAAGTTCGAAGGTGGAGAAAATACCCACTCTCAATCTGTGGAACAGCTGTATTGTGACTCGTCTCCATAGACTCCTTCTTGGCAGCGCTGCTGGCGGCTGTTCGCTCCTCAGGTGTGGCTTCGCTCGTATCCTGTTGCTGTTGTGCCTCTGCAACATCACCTGGAATCAATGTAATGTCATCCTGCGGTGCTCCAACGTCCATATTCGCCGGGTCAATAGCCTGTGGCCTTGAGTAGAACACT